TGTGTGCATGTATGTGGTGTGTGCATGTGTGGTGTGTGCATGTGTGTGATGTATGCATGTGTGGTGTATGTGTGTGGTGTATATGTGTGTGCATGTGTGTGCATGTATGTGGTGTATGCATGTATGTGGTATGTGGTATGTGTATGTGGTGTGTGTGTGCATGTGTGTGATGTGTGCATGTGGTATGTGTGTGCACATGTGGTGTGTGTGTGCATGTGTGTGTGCATGTGGTATGTGTGTCCCATTCTGAGTCCTTAGAGTTGCTTAGAGGAACATGAAGGCTATTTATCGAAGCCTGGGCACCTTCCCCTTGGCTACCTCACTGAAGAAAATGGCAAGACAAGTTTTTGAAGCTGTCTCCTCATTTGTATAGTAGCGGAAGACGCCTTTCATGGATGTTAGCGAGTTAAACAAGACAAGCATTTCTTTTTCTCAGTGTCCACCCTCAGAAGCAACTTTAGCAGCACCTTAGAACGTAGTGAGTCTTGGCTGGGAGCTAACTTAGGGTCGTTCTCAAAAACATGAGGATTAAATTAGAGTTGAAAAATAAGGAAGGCAGGAGTGAGGAAAGAGATGAAGAAGAAGAGGGTGAGGGAAGAGGAGGGCCAATAAGGGAATTCGAATTCTAACAGATGCTTATTGGCAAGTTAAACCCTGTATTCTAGATCCCTCCTGTGAAAATCAAGGATAATAACACTGTTTCTCAGGCCTCCCAGACTAAGGGACATGATGTATGGTTTACAGCTAGAGCAGAGACCAGCACTTAATTATCTCCATTGATCCCAAAACTCGGCTTGCTAAGTGCATGTCACCTTCCCCCTGTTTTTTTTTTTGGGGGAGGAACATCTTATTTTAAGTCACTGTACATATATTCATACATACATAGTGATGGACTTTGTATATTTCTGTTTTCAAGGATAACATTTACCTTTGGCCGTACCCATCACCCCACCCTCTCTTCACTCTTCTTTCCCCTCTATTCTTCCTTCCCCAGTTGCCCTTCTGCCTTCATGTCCTGTGAGTGTGCTTGCACACGCACGTACACACTCACAGATGTAGTCGCCTGTGGAGGTCAGAGGACAATTTTGTGAAACCCATTCTCTCCTTCCGTCTTCATGTGGGTTCCAGGAATCGAACTCAGGTCATGAATTTGCATGGCTGATGCCTTGACCTACTGAGCCCTCTCACCAGCCCTGAAGATGACCTAGTTTTGTTGATGTTTAAGTTGAACTCTGCTGTGTGCATATCCACACTTTGTTTATCCATTCCCCTGTTGGTGGACGTGAGGACTGATTTGTAATTGCCTGTGGTGAATATGCTACAACAGACAGGATGTACAAGCTGCCTGCATTCGTTCTGTGAGGAGCCTCCATGCTGATTTCCATAGGGCCTGGGCCAGTTTACCTTCCCACCAGCAGTGTGTGCTGGGAGAACGTTTTTGAATGAGTATCTTGATGCTTAAATCCCTCAAGCAGACACTGGCCGTTCCTAACACAGCCAGGGATATATCCGTCCATCCCCACGTGTCCTCACCTTAGGGCAGGAGTTCCTAGCTCTGAATTCAGAAATGACTTGTATCGAGCGAGACTTGAAGCACATGTTTTGAGAGAGCGTATGGCAGGATGACGGAACAGAAGTTTGGGGTAATACAGGCTCAGACACTTGGCTGAACAGGAATGAGTCCTGAGAGGCACTTCCCCCACTTTATTCACTGGCAGGTTATAAAATGGGGTGTCTGTATCAGCAGTTCTCAATCCTCCTAATGCTGTGACCTTTTAATATAGTTCCTCATGTTGTGGTGATCCCCAACCATAAAATTGGTTTTGTTGTTACTTCTTAACTGCAATTCTGCTACCTTTGTGAATCCTAATGTAAGTGTCTGTGTTTTCCAATGGTCTTAGGTGACCCCTGTGAAAGAGTTGATCCCCAAAAGTGTTGAGAACAG